ACCACTTCTGCACATTGTGTTCTCTGCATTGGGGCACTTCTGAGAATCTAAGGGGCATTTTAATAATGATCTGAAATAAGTGTCCCTGTATTTCCCAGAGAAAATAAATGATCCTGGAGTTGCAAAGCTTAAAACTAAATGTTGGACCACTTTGTTACAAGACACATCTCTGTGCAGCCCCTCCATATGTCTTCTTCCCTGTGGCAGCCAGTCTGCCTTGCATAGTTGCAGCCCTATAATGCGGTTACAATGCTTCCCACAGGGAGCAAAAGTGTATTGATAAGTAACTGTGTATTGACTTTTACAATATGGACATACTCTGGAAAAATGACTTTTACCTAATATTATGAACAAAAAATTAATCTTAAGCTTGATTAAGCTATTTGCTTCTCTTGTGACCAGGTGGAGAACATGTCAGGAGAACTGGGAGAGAAGTTGAACATATGTGTGTTGGTCATACAAGATGCAGATTAAGCAGCATAGAAAAACACATGAAACAACAAAAGCAGGCTTATTGTTAATGAATCCCAAAGAGAAGAGGATAACATACTTCACAGAGCCTTAATCCCCCATGACCCATCCTTGCTCTAGGCTAAAAGTAATGTATTAATATATGTGTGGTTATTTACATATCAAGAGCTGCAAACAATGCTTATCTCATTGCAAACAATGAGAAAAATTGGTAACATTTGTTCATGGCTCTCTCTCTCTCTCTCTCTCTCTCTCTCTCTCTCTCTCTGTGTGTTGGAATAGATCTAGGGATCAGAAAATGTAAAATTATCTGATATGGATAAGGGTCAGACTTTTACTTCCCCACTTCATGTTGGATATACTGTTTCAATGAAACAAAGAGCTAGCCCTTATTTCAGAGCAGAGTTCTAGGAGAAACCTGAAGGAATGTTTCTCAACAGTTCAGGTTAACTTATGGCCTTAAAATGGATGCCAAGATTCAGGCTTAGTGGTAATATGGCATAATGCCACAGATAAAAATTAAAGTCTTTGAAACAATGCTGTCCTTAAGTGGTGCATTTTTCCTTTTCTTTGTAATCTTTCTAACTTAATGAAAAAAGGTAGACAGTAATCTATATAAGGATATTCCCTTTAGGATATTGTGGTTTTCAGCTAACTTTCAGAGGAAGAAAAGAATCAAATACTTTGAGTAGACTAAATGTTAAATGCTCCATGTATGTGTCAGTCAAATTTTGTCATTAAAATGAAAATAAGACACAAATCATTTTACATAGAGAGAACATTTGCTTTGGCTCATAGTTTGAGGTATCAGTTCATGACTGCTTGGGCCTGTTGTTTTAGAACATGGTGAAACAGCATGGGTGTGTGTGGGAAAGCAAAACCACTAACAATATGGCTGAGGTTTGAAAGAGAAGAGGAAGGGGCTGGAGTCCCACTACCAATTCAAGGGATACTTCGGATGGCTTCAACTAGACTCCACCACTTCCCAATAGTATTATGCTGGCTACTAAGCCTTTACCACATGAGCCTTTAGGGACTATCTAAGATCCAAATTATAGTAGTATATAAATATTATGTTGGCAACACAATAGAGAAAAATGTAGGCTAAAACTATTTTGATTTTTATTAGTAACTTTTATTTCCCTATATAAGCTACATCAGTTATGAGGATGACCATTAGCCTCACAGTCAGAGCAGGAAGGAACAATGAAGAGTAAATTTATTTCTTATGGGCAGTGGCAATAACCAGGACCATTAATACAGGACTCGCATATGAATGGAAGAAGCACTGAGATGTCTATCCTGAAGTTGAACTGCTTAATTTGAATCACATGTCTATCCTTTAGAATTTCTCCCATGGAGTAAGAAACCAAATATGTGTCTGCTATTAAGTCATGTGTGGAATGGAAAAGAAGAGGGGAGGTGGTGATGACATCATGAAAAATATTAACAAAAACCTCCACACCAATTTTGAGGATAAACGTTGGAAAAATTTAGTGAATAAGAGATGAAAACCAGTCTTGGGATATGGCTCAGTGGATGAGTATTTACTGCATAAGCTGAGTGTGGCTGCATGTGTCTATTATAGGGAGACAAGATGATTGGTTGTTGGGGGTTTGCAGGCCACCAGCTAAGCTCCAGGTTCAGTGAGAGACTTACTCTTAAAGGATCTGATGGAATCATAGAACAGGACACCTGACATCCTCTTCTGGCCTCCATCATCCTCCCACCACACACACACACACGAGAGAAAGAGAGAGAGAGAGAGAGAGAGAGAGAGACAGAGACAGAGACAGAGAGACAGAGATCTTTAAAAAGAGCTAAAGATCACCAGTTCTTTCATTTTCAAATTAAAATATTCAGTACTTAAGTGCTGTCTAAAATTGTCTGGAATGGAGTTTTCAATATAGCTGAATTTTGTAGGTTAGATTAAAAAGAACTAAGATGGAATTCAAATATTTCAGAAGCTTTCTGCAAGTTTGGTGACTGAAGTGCAATTTCTTTGAAGACATTTTAAACAGCTATCTTATAGGGTATTATTAACTACGGAAGAAATTAAGATGGTGGAGACAACCGCACAAAAAGCTAAGAGAAGAATCGAAGAAGGCTGCGTACGCTACAGTGGGGTGCTGTTAACAGGCAACAGCCTGGCAAAATGAGAGAAAGCTTGAAAGAAGGAGCCCTACAAATGGGACTTAAAAGGTAACAATTTTATCTGGAAGTTGGAAGCATTACATGCTAATAAAACTAAGAGGAAGGAAAGTTTGTGACTGCTTTGGGGGAAATAGTGGTCAAGTTGAACCGTAATGGAAAAGAGGCCCTAGGAAACTGTGTCTTACGGAGAGGGAAAACATGGTTTGAACTGTGGTCTACTTAACGTTAATGTGACAGACCATTTTTGTCTGCCGCTCATTATACAACATACACACACACACACACACACACACTGCATTCCAGGCAACTAGTTGAGAATTGGTGATGGATAATCTGATGTAATTGTGGGATATTTCATCTCATGTTGAATAAAACTTCATGATGTTTCTCAGTTTCGAAGCCCTATAACTTCATAACCCATGTGTCATATTTCAATCTCATCATGTTTTGTGTTCCATAATCTTTCACATTTGTGGTAAGAGCTCCCTGTAATTATAAGAATGCAATGTTAGAATCTAGCTGATGCTTTGCAGCAGTTTCCTGACAAATACTGACAAGCTCCCTCCTAGGAGGGAGCTTTGACCTTGAGTCCCAGCTAGCTGGCTTGCTAGTGCCATACTCACCTGCAAAGACAGTTTATATCAAGGGGTGCCACCATTCTATCCTCCACCCACTTCCCTGACTCCTGTCTGGGAATCAGAGCATGGCTACAGGGTCTTGTAGTGAAATTTCTCCTATCCTCAAAGGTGTAAGAAGAGGTTCCCTCTATCAAAATACCTGAAAGCAAATCCTGAATTCATCACTCTTGAGTCCAGCCTTAGCAGACAAAAGAAAAATGAGGAGGAACTCAATAGAAGGATGCTTTTGGAAGCTCTCGTCAAGAAATCCCAATGGATTTTCATGTGAACATTTGAAATTTTCCCTGTTCTGACTTTTTTTCTAGTTCCTTGTCTAGACATTGTGATGCTAATTATTTACTCTGGCCTTTACTTCTTCACATCTCCTATTCACCAGTCAAGGACTTTCTTTTCCTGCTACAGATAAGAATTACGCAATTTGGAAGTCTTTTAGATAGACCCACTGAAGGGGTACCCCAGTTGCCTCACCCTGCATCCTTGTTCAGCATGGAAGAAGCCTGAGTGGTCTGTGTCCTGATTCCCTATCTGAAAGCTGGGTAACCTCTTCAGAGGATGGTGTGATAAGAAAAGAATGTAGGAATTGGGTAGTGTAAAAAGACTCCAATGAAAAGTAGACAGTTTCAATATCAAAAGTATTTGGGAGCTCTTATCTAATCCTTAAAAGATTTTAGGGTTACCCCTTCAGAGGGGGGAATGTTAGAGTAGCAAAAAGCCCCATAAAAAACAAAAGGAGAAAGAGTACATGGAGTTATCAGAAAAAAAAGTGATGGGGCGATATGGGAGGAGTTGGAGGGGAAGGAGTGGGCATGGGTTTGATCAAAACACCTTACATGCTTATACGCCTGTATGAAATTCTCAATAAATTATTTTTTTGAAAAGATACAAATTAAAAAAAAGAGTACAGGTACACAAAATAACTCTAAAAAAAAGAAGAGGTTTCCTCTTTTGCTTTGATCCCTTTATCTGTCTGTCCAGAGTGTTAACTCTACAAATATCTTAGTCCCCAATAATCTGCCTCAGAGCCCTCTTGAACCACCTGCCTCATCCAAATCTAAAAGTAATGTCTCTTGTTCTGATGTCATGCTAATGTTCAGATTTAGAGAGTCTTAAAACTTTTGTTTTATTTATTAGCATTTTTGTGAAGTGAAACCCTCTTTGGAAGATTCTGAGCCAAGGGATAACTTCTCTATTGGAAAAATTAGAAAGGTGTGGTAAATAGCATTCAAAGCAAGTGAGGTGTTTTCAAAAATACTGAGTTGGTATCCACTTCAATATCTTCAGACCGCCACCCCCTCAAATCCAGTCACAAAATTGTGTATGTTGAGTGTGAGAAGGAAAGGGACTCAGTGTTTCCCCTTTTACCTCACAGAGCCTAACCCCTCCACAGCATGATCTTGCTGTGTCTTCAGGAGTAGAGAAACATAAGAAACATTTAAATATGCATATGCCTCCATATCTAACGATCCCACTATAGTGTTAATAAAAACAGTACTTCCAGTCTGGTGTCTAATACATTTACTTCCCAGCAGCATAATACCACTTTGGTCAGGTTGAACCACTGCACAATTTTGCAGCTCTTTCAGAAAAAAACAGTGAAAACAATTGGAAACACACAATGCACATGCAATGGTGAAAAAGGGTACAATTGCCAATCCTTTCCCATAAATGTGACATATCCTTGGTTCTTCTCCACACTGTGTTTATAAGCCCTTAGAGCAGGGATTTTTGTTCTTCTAGTTTTTTTTTTTTTTATTGTAGCACCAAGTAGACACAGTGGCTGACAATAAATATTTCTGAAGTCATTGAAACATTTTTCACAAGTAAGAAAATTTCTGGATCTGAACTTTTATGCATGTCCCTGGATGAAGCTAATCATCATAAAAGTAAGCTATAATGTAAGACTGAATTCTAACCCTGTTTTGTTTCTGATATGATTTGTTGACTAAAACAAGGAATAATTTACTAATATCTTTTGTATACTACTTTACAGTTTCAAGGTACTTTTTTTATATACAACTTGTTCATTTTCAGTGGTGTCTCCCAAACCCACATATGTGGCTAGGCACATGAGCTATTGTGTCAGACCACATGAGTTCAAATCCCAAGTCTACCTGTTAATTGTGTGACCTTAGAAAAGTCACCTGTCTCTGCTTCAGTTCTCTTGTGTATAAAATGGAACCTACTGAATAGGACTATTGAAGGGAGAGTTCATGAAAGCACTGAGCCAAGAAGCTGCAAAGTAGTAAGAACTGGATCAATATGTCTTGTCTACCTCACTGGGTTGTAACTGGTTTATGGATAAACTATGTGGCAATTTTGAGTGGCATGTTCAGGAAAGAAAGCTTACATAAATCTGTGTAGGCAGTATTTCATGATTCCCATGAGGTGTGAGGTTTTATTTGTTCTAGAAAGTGTGAAGGGGACCCAGTGTGTGATAAACTGTAGTTTTGGCTGGAGTAAGTGCTGAGGAACTCCACATAGGGATTACCTTGGTCTTGTTTCACTTTGTATCTCCTTAATCTAGCATGTACTAAGAACACAACAAATATTTATTAAATGAATAAATGCATGTATGGTAAAGTTTGGGGATACATTAGTTTTTAGCTCAGGTGTGTCCTAGGAATCAAAGATGAAATGGTGGTATTTGAAAGCAGAAGATTTAGAAATGGTACCATCAATGACTATGAATTTCTTTGAAAATACAAATACCAGAGGGAATCCCAATATCTTGATGATATAACTTCTTTTTGTTAAAACTAAAACTCAGTCTTCTACAGAAATTAGTTCCATGTTTGAAGCATCCATGCCAAATAATTCAAGGTGTTTCATAAAGAACTAGATAATATTTTATTCACTGTAAAATAAAAAAATCTGAATGCCAATCATTGCTCTGTATCTAACAATCCTTGAACCCTTGAAATCTTTTAAGTATTTTGATTACAGTTCTGGTTCTAACTATGATATGAGAAATTATAGTGTCATTTAGTATATTATAAGCTAGTGAAATAACCAGAAGTCAGGATGAATTCATTTATCCACCTCTCCAGTAATTCATTTATTCAATAAATATTTGCTGAGTGTGCTAGTCCAGAAACAGGGCTGGAATCACATCTCTTTTTGTCTCATGGAGTTTGGGATCTGAAGAGGAATGGGATGGTGTCTGCAAGATATTACTCAGTACGGGGCTCCCTTAATCCTTTGAGCACGATCTTTCTCCACATAATGATCTCATCTGAAGTTACTCTTATGTATCAACTATGTGCTAGATAAACAAATCCCAGCTGAAAAATGAGAAATCCAGGAACTCATTATTCACACATACACAAATAGTAATATGTGTTTAAAATGACAGATAAAATACTCTGCATTTTAGTGTCCTACATGTACAGCTGTGCAAAAGGAAATAAGATCAGTTTGATGCCACAGATGCAAACTGCATTTGTAAATTGGTGTAATCTGTCTCTAGCCAAGTTCTTCAGAGAATACCTCCAGGTCTTAATAAGCCCCTGACTTTTACATTTAGATCTTAGCATTGTCTTAAAATACAGTGGTAGCTCATGTCAGTAGAGAATTTCCTATTGATTACATGATTGAAGAAGCACAAAAGTCTGTTATTCTTTCCAAAGTTGATTGTAATTTAAGCTCATTATCTCCCTGCAGATACTCTGTTTCAAAAGGGAACAGAATCAGAATGTAAAAGCTCCAGTGAAAAGGTTCAGTAATTCTTTAACCGAATTACCTTCTGTGTTCACCTTAAAAATCATAGCTGGAAGAAAGTGTACGGAAATCTCTTGCACTGTCTACCAGCTTGACCCAAGGGAAAACTGAAATTCACCAGACGGATCTCTGATGAGAAATATCAACCGTTTTCCCCCTAGTTTATTAGATTTAACAGTGAGCTTCATGTAAAAGCAGACTACCGTGTCTTTTCCTTTAAAGCATGATGCCAAACATGTCAGTGTGTCTAGCATGATACTTGGCAATAAAGACCATTAGTACAAATTATGGTCGTTTTGTTTTTCCTTTTCCCTCTAGCTTCAGTGAAACTTCAGAGACCCACAAGTGGCCTCTGTGCATATTTGGGGTGCTATTTTTTATTAAAATTTTAGAGAAATGCTTACATTTCAAGAAAGTAAACTTTACTGAAAGGAACCAGCTATTTGTATGTAGGAACCCCTAAGACACGTAGCCTGTCCTTGGCTCTGTAGTATGGTGGATTGCTCCTTCGCTTTGACAAACAACTTGGCATACATTTATCAGCACTTCACATTATGCAAACGAAGCATAAAATACAAAGACTTCTAGAAAACACAGGTGTAAAATGTCTATTATGTGATAGCTGCTTCTACAGTATGCTTATCGACGTGAGACCACACAGTATCTTCACTATTTACTAAACACTTAACAGCTAGATGATAACAATTATCTTAAGCTCCAAATTTATACAATGTGTTGAAATGTGTAGAAATGACCATTTCCTCATTACAAGGGTGGGATGATTTCCTTTTATGAGAGTCCTGTGGCATTGCCTGAATAGCTTTAATATTTCTTTGTTAAACGATAACTAAAATATATGTTTTATTACATTTCTCTTATAAAAATGAAAACTATCTTTCAAGCTGAATAATACTCATATAGTCTCCATTTCTTCCCTTTTTGTTATGCTTGACTCTTATAAACCTATTTTACAACATTCCGGGTCTTCGACTGCCCCTCCCCCCAATTAAAAAAGTGATATGCTACCACAGAAGAAGGATATTGAAATGAATTGGTGTATCTCTTGGGTTCCTTGATGCTTGTCACCTCGTGGGTGATGCACTCTGAAGAGCATTAAGAACTTGCTATTGACATTAGTACCACCCAAGAGAGCAAAATAAAATGTGCTGAGTGAATCTGATTGTTTTTGTTTAATTTCAGGAATATAGTTTCTAAGCTGAGCGTCACACATTTCTATTCTGGAGGACTGTCTGAAATATCAAATTTATTACAGTTGGGGAGACATTTTCTACCTTAAAAAAGATATACTAAGATATCTTATTCAGTTTTGATGGTCTATCTGGCTTGTTTTAACTACGCAATTCTATTTGTTTTTTTTTTGTGTGTGTGTGTGTTTATGTGTGTGTGTGTGTGTGTGTGTGTGTGTACACATGCGTGCAAGCGTTAGTATGTGAGGATTAGGTACATTTTTGTGCTTAAGGTGTTTAAATGCCCAGATAATTATTGCTACCTACTTATTTCATAATATAAAACCAGATTAGGTGCCTAAATTTGCTCTAAGTCAAAAAGTGAAAGAAATGCATGTTTATGAATGGGAATGTGTGAAATGAAATATTTTTTCCTCTAGTGGCAGCAGCATCTGTCATTCACAATGTTGATATCACTGGATTCCATGTGCCTCATTTAAGAAACAATACTGCCAAAAAATACAGTTTATAGTTGGAAAACTGGTCTAAACTAGATTGATATATACACTGAATGTGTATCTATGTGCATATATTATAGTTCAATTTTGTAATGTTCCAAGCTTTAAAATATCAAATAGATTTCTATGATAGCACATTAAGTGTGCAAGATGAGTTTAGATTTCTCCAAACCTTATCAATAAACAAGAAAACATTGAGAGAAGGTCATGTATTTCAAGTGAGGATCAGCTCATGAAGAGGCAGTATTCTTGTAACAGAGCAGTAACCCTTGGTAAACAAAGAACCCAAGTTATAACAAATGTATTCTGATAATATATATTTTGTGGAATAAATATATTGTTGTTAAGAGTTAATAATAGATACAAACAATACTTAAATTAAAAAAAAAAGTACTAGAGTTCCCACCCTTGCTTCTAATAAACCGAGTGTTCAGCTGAAATACCCTACTCTTTTAATGCATACTAAAATTCATGGAAACAGAACATAAAAGGCCAACTGCCTCTAGAGCCTGAAGAAATTATGTAGTGTAGTGAGTATATAAGAATTTGCCATTTTCAAGAGGAAAACTGAGGTTAAGTTTTCAATTAAATCAAATTCTAATTCAGACAACTCAGGAATATGAACTGCGGAACAGGTCAGGGTAAGGGCCATGTGTAAGCTTCCTTCAAGTGGTGTCAACCTTGAACTATGCAGTTTGAACTATGGCCTAATGAGGGGTTTGTTAATCTCTGGAAAAGCCTTAGACAAAGAGTCACTTAATCCTGGCCCCGCTGATTTGTTCAAAAGTCACAGACTTTATTCCTTTTATACCGTTTCAGTCTGCAGACTGGAAAAATCTCTCCCTCTATGCACTGAGAATTTCCAGTGCCATGAATGGAAGGTCTGAGTGGGTAAAGAGCCATGAGCATGGGCTGTCGCCCAGAGAAGGAAGGTGTCGAATTGCCTTGTAAAGAACGGATACATGTGTGTTCACAGCTTCTTGACAGGTGTAATTACTGGTGTTGCCTTTCCCTTTTTATATGTGCTGGGATTCTTGGAGCACGTTTCCAAATTTGTGACTATCAGATGTTTGATCTGGTAGCTTTTCTTCTAGGGCCTGAAAGGTGACAAAAAGAGTGAAAGAAAATTAGTGACTAGTATTAATTTATAAACTACAATATGCTAAAAATAGAGAACATATGCTACGTGAGAATGGCAAGAATTATTTGGGGCACCATTATTCATGCATAGTCTTCCACAAATGGAAAATAAAAATTTATGTGAAGGAAGTAATTATCGAATAAGACCGGAAAAGCCACAGCTATTCCCCCAAATGCAATAATGAATTCAGTTTCGGAAACATTTCAAACGTAAAACATTTCTTCCTACTAGTTCCAGATGAATCTATTTCATGAAGGCAGACTATAAATATCATTCATCTTGCAACTATAACATGAGACCATTGAGTAACACTGTTGTTGCCATACAAGTCGGCAAAGCACTATGCTGACCAGCTGGAGCACCAGTATCTCTTTTCTGAAGCAGACATTAAGCTGTCTCACCTCCTACAAGGTCAGCTTGACACCACATAGACTAGAACAGGGCAGATTCCTTTGTAATCAGATTCAGGGGGAAGCTGCTCCCCTAAATACCTCCTTGGAACTGTCAGCCTTCCACTAGCATGGGGTCATTTCTCCCAATCTTTGTTTTTAAAGCTGCTGTTGTCTTTACTTCAATGAATGCCTCCCCCCACCCCCCGCCCCCAATTTCTAAAACGGATTTTAGAGAAATTGCTTTTACTCTGCACCAACACTCTGGCTTTTAAGCCATCTATAGATATGCCAGAAACCCCACAGGCTATAGAATGAACTAAAAGACATGCATGAGGCCACTATGCTTCTTCACAAGTTACCTGACAAGCATGCTTTTACCATTTTAACAACTGCAACAGCAACAGCATTGTTGTTATGTCTAAATTTTATAAAATGGTCACAAATTGCCAAGTCTTATTGAACTGTACATATTTTCTTTTTCTTATTCAAGAGAGATTTTACTGAGTTTAAGATTGAGGGTTTCCTAAAGGACACTTAACTACTAAGTGACAGAGATCCAGAGACTGAGTTTTTAATTAATCAAATTATCCCATAGTCACTTGTGTTAAGGGAACAGGATTCTGAACACACTTTAAGTCTTCAGAGTCCTAGAGTTTTTTATCCTTCCAGAGTGGGGAGCAGGTCTAAGAAATACATAATACCTGAGAGGGAATTGGCCATCCATAATGAGGGCTAACCTAATTCCATCTCATTATTTACCTTAGTCACATAGTTTATAACTGGGCAGATTCACAGCTCACCTAAATAATTGTATTCACTTATTATTTCTCTCTCTCTCTCTCTCTCTCTGTGTGTGTGTGTCTGTATGGCATGTGTATGTGGGCATGTGAGCCATAGTGCCTGTGTGGAAGTTAGAGGTCAATTTGTGATTTTGGTTCTTTCCTTTCACCTTTATATGGATTCCAAGAATCAACTTCAGGCACTAGGCTTACATGTGGCTGAAATAGCTCAGTTTGGAGAGTGATGAACTGGAGGTCTCCAGGCTTATGAGGCAAGTGCTGTTACTGAATGAGCCATTTCAACAGCCTTATACAATTTATTTTTAAACTAATGCCTGCTTTTCTTATGATTAAATTTGTTGATCAAGTTGCCTAGTAAACTCTTAGAGGAGCCATTGTAGTCTGCATAATTTTTCCCCTACCCCTTCATCCCTAAATATACCTGCATTCTAATGTGTAGGATCTATGAATATGCCAGATTGCACGTTATGAGGAACTCAGGTTGTAGATTAAACAATGGATTAATATTCAGTTGATATTAAAATAGGTGGAATTGGAGGTCATCAGCTTAAGCAAAATAAGTCAGACATAGAAAATTTTGCATATTTTTTCTTATATGTGGAAC